TATTAGCCTTAGAAGATTCATCCATAACTTGAGCATTCGTAGAAGGCGTTGTGGGACCAGGCTTGGCTGAAGAGGGTCCACTCTGCCGCTTACCACCCATCTTGAACTTGTGTTTAGTAGACTTCATAGTCTTGCCTTTACCTTTCTTGTGAGAGTCAGAGTCAATGGGCTTGGACGCAGGGCATACATAGGCTAGATGTCCATGCTGTAGACATCTTTGACAGTTCAAGGACTTAGGGGGGATTTCACACGAATCCTTAGTGTGATTAGGATTACCACACTTAGAACAACGGGACTCGAGGTCGCTAAGCTTACCACGACATAGACGTGCTGGGTGACCAGATTGAAGGCACCGATAGCACTTGATAGACATAGGGTCAGCACCAGTAGAACATAACTGTGGCTCCTCATAGTCGGTAGTCGTATCACCTAAGGTGTGAACCTTAGAGGTAGCTGGCTTGGCGGTCTTATCATTAGACCTCAAGCGAGAATTAACGATCTCATCATAGAGTTTCTGTCGTTGTTCACGGCCTAGACGTCGGCGCTCAAAGTTAGATAGATAAGAGACAAACTTCTCATAGGAAACCTTAGGGTCACTCAGTTCCTTGTCGACCTTTTCTCGTAGGTAGTCGGAGTTGAGACCATCGTAGAGACGACGTTTGAGGATGTACTCGTACGTACGAATACCCATGAAGTGAAGTTCGGTGACAATAGACTCGAGCCTCTTGACATACCTAGCGAGAGACTCAGAGTTACCTTGACGACAAGTAACGAACTTGACTTCAGCTTTCGCAATAGCATCATCATTGTCATAGAGCTTGCGAATAGTAGAGCATAGCCGATCGAGGTGTTTCTCATAGTCGACATAACATCTAGTAGGCGGTTCAGTACCCTTGATAAGTTTGGCCCAGATAGACTTCTCCATATTCTGCTTGGCCCATAGATATTTAGTAACAGCATCATGGCCTTCTAGAGCAGACAAAATTTCACGGACGAAGGTAGAACCGCTTCTATCATCGTCCTCACCCAAGAACTTAGAGGTCGACGACGACTTAGTCGCAATGTTAGAAGCAACATCATAGTCCTTCATGGAGATCTTCGATTTGCACGGCTTAGACTTACAACCTGGGCACCTAGATCGATAGGAAGGTACCGCACGCTCAGCTGGGACATAGAAACGACCATTAGTAACGCCATTCCGATACAAAGTCCATAAAGAGATCGAGAAGAGTTGCTCGATTTCTTAGAGGCAGGATGGCTTCCTTCGCT